TTGGACCAAACCGACAAACCCATCGACAGAATAACACATCAGTGTAGAAGAGTTTTTAAAGAATGAACAACAGAAGGTTCCTACTTCTCTGTTCATACATGTGCTTTATCTTGTGAATAGATAGATGGGAATGTAATGTAAATGTAAAGAAGAACACTTTGCAAGTAAACACACGGGTATTGACATGTTCAAAACGTTCTTTTAAATGAGACTGAAACAAGGTCAGCACACTCATTAGACCTCAAGGATACGAACAATGTCTTTCTGTGAAAGTCAATACAACTTTTGTTTATTTAAAGACAAACTCCACAAGTGTAAGTGTAATTCTCAGGTTAGTTGAACACAGATGCTGCTGAGTGCTCCGTCTAATTCTAACACTTCATCCTGACCAATGAAAAGACGATAGTGCTATTTGGTGTTAGTGGGTTAAAATGGCTGATGTCAGTGTCGGGGAACTCCTGCGTCCATGTGAATAAGTGAATGTCAAATCTGTGATCACTGTCACTGCTTTAAGGCAGGACTCATCACCACGGTAACCAAGAAAATGAAGGAGAAACTTGTTGCAGATATGAAAAGGTCTATTTGAACTAAAACCATGATATTTTGCTGAACGTAACGAAGTAGTTTAGTTGTCTACACAAAGAAAACAACAAAAATAAATAAATAAATAAAACAGAACTGGATAATTGATTTCTTAAATTTTTTGTTTTATTAATTTATAGATTTCATAGATTCTTTTTCTGTGCATTTGAAATACAGGAAATTATTCATATAGCCACAAAAATACATGGTGAATTTACGTCTAATGTGAAATAACATGTAAAACCTTTAAATGTGAAGAGACATAAAATTAAAAAAAATAAAAAACTTTTTTTTTTAAAGAAAATTGACTATTTAAATACATTTGCAAAATTGATAATAATTTCCTGAATATTTCCTTCATATTTAATAGGTGAAACTGTTAAATCAATATACAATGAACAGAGAAGGAAGTGATGTCTGTAATTTTGCGTAGATTTATTTTTTGTTAAATAAGAGATATTATGTTTAATTACAGAAAATTTCAAATCAAAAAAGATCAAATCAAATACAATAAATGTGTTTTCATCCGTGTATAATGTTAATAGGAATTGTTCAATAATACAGTATTTATCATTGAAAACTACCTCATTTGCAAGCATTACTCTATATACATGTATTTATATATACATACACAATGGTATATGTTTGTTTTTTGGAGTTGTTGCCAATCAAGCCATTCTATCATTTAGTATTGTAAAGATCAAATGTATGAAAGAAGAGACTCTGTTTTACACACGGTCATGCTTCCACTCAATGCATCAAAGAATAGAATAGAATAAATAAAATACTGCTTCACTCTCTTCTTTTGTTTGGAGTTCCTACTGGCTATGGCTGTCTGTCTAACATTTCAGTTCCTTTATTCAGCACTATCCCAGCTCAGCATGGGTCTGAATTAAGGAGCTCACATTTTCTCTGCTCTTACTTGCCTAATCAAACACCTACCATCTATTGGCCTGACCTCTGTGCATTTAATGCACTTCACATTCATCTATGGCTTAGTGGGATTGGTTAGATGTTGGGGCTGAGAGGCTGTTCAAAGGGATTTGAGGTTTTATAGGATTGACTGGTTGGCTTTTGACTGGTAGTTCCCCCTCGACTCTGTTGATAATTAAGTCATTTACCTCCAGAAAACTCAATCGCAGCACTGCCACATTATGAGTATTACAGCAGTGTTAAATTATCTTCCCAACTGTGAAATGCAAAAGGAGATTTTTTTAAGAGCAGCGGAGGAGACTTAGGGTGGATTATATGTGGGTGGAGGCAGTAAAGCAGAGGCAGGATGGAGAGAACTATGACGTGAAGCGAACCTGAGAGGAGATTGACTGCAGAGAGTATTAGTGTATGTGTGAGGATCTTTAAGTCATTCTGCACACTTGCTCCTCCATCTCCTGCACAGGAAATTTGCAGACATATTTTTAGTAACAACCTGTCGATATCATTACATCTTTCTGCTCTTTTTCTGTACATACTTACTCTTCTGGTGCCGTGCATTGGAGCTGAGACCATTAAACATTGTCAGAAAGCATAATCACTCACTGATGTACATTCACAAGCGGCATAGAGAAGGAAAACCTCGAGCCAGGTGTAACTAGTTGGACATTTTAAATAATAGACTTCCTGGCCTTCGTGGCCAGCATTAGATTAGAATGACATCACTCTTATGTCTGTGTGGTAAAGAAACAGCCTCTCCAGCAGCTGGTAAGCTCAGCACAAAAACTCCATCCAAACAAAACTAAACATGACTACCGACAGCTTTACAGCTCCTTAATTAACGCTTTTTTTTTTTTTCTTTAATCTTTAAAAAAAAAAAGTGTAAAAACGCTAGTTATTGGACCAAAAACTTGTCTGGCTGCAGGTTGTAGCTTTATATTTAGCATAGACACATACATCTAACAGCAAGACAGCAAATAAGCATTTAAATAATTTCTGTGTGTAAAGCATTAGCAAGTAGGGACCAAATCCCATCACCAGATGATGTCTTCTTGCTTTTATCTAAATTACAGTCCAAAACTTCATCATGTTCATTCTATGACCACACAGAAGTAAGACGCTGCAAGTTCTGAAAATGGAATCAGAGTGTTTGGCTCTTTTGTTTAATCGATTGTGACAAATGATGCCAATTTATCTCAATTCTGTCAAATATTTGAATGTTCTAGCTTTATTTTAAACCACTCATCTTCTTAGTGAGGCGGCAGGGCAGAAAACTGAGACTCACTGCTGTCCTCACAGCTTCACAGGCACTTCGCCTGTGATAACAACGTGTCTACAGTTTGTGGAATCTGGGTTAAAAAAAGCCTCATTACAGACTCACACTGACAAACAAACGCAAAGATCATCACCAACAGGGAATTCCGAAAAGCAACAACCTGAGAGTTTCTTCCTTCATCTTCAAGTGGATGTGTCAGATTCCTGTGGTGACACTTCTTGATGCTCATCCCACAAGACCGCAGCATTACGGGAGCAAACAGTGCAGGCTGCAGGGGGTGTAAAAAGCTCATGAAGGATTGCTGGTGTTTAGAGAAAGATTGCTTCAGGGCTCATTTGAGATGATTTGTCGGCTTTATGCCCGCAGGCAAATTTATTTGAAGTGTCCAGTTAAATCCTTCTTTCTGTCTGTTGACCTGGTTTTTATTTGTAAGCAGTGACACTGTCATTGGTAGAAAATATATTCACATTCTTTGTTTATAGATTCAACACAACACTGTAGAACTGCTCAAAAAGAGGCAACAATCCTTCATTCAAAAGTATTATCTACAAAATATGCAGATTATAATAAGACTTTATTACATTTTTAATATCAGTTTGTTTGCAGCCATGTGGTTGTAGCTGGCTGAAGTGAAGCCGTTTTATCTGCTTTATATACAGTTCAGCCTAAAGGGTTCCAATGTAGTGGGTGAGCCGTCCACAGCATCACAAGATACATCTGAGAGGTCGTGAAAAAGAAAAAGAGTTTTGCTGCACCAATCCACTTTATTTGTCTATGCTTTTATCTTTACTTTTTGTTTGTTTGTTTGTTTTGTAAAATATTGGATGACTAGATATTGGAAAATCTAAAAACTGAAGTTATCCAAAATAAATAATGTTAGTAGTTTAGAGGGAGACTAGATATCATTAAAAAAGAAAAGCCAGGTTGTTGTGCTATGTAATTTATCCTATGTTTTTGTAAGTACAAGCATTATCTATAAGATAAAAAAGAGAGTAGAAAAGTATGATATTTTCCTCTGAAATGTTGTGAAGTACAAGTACAGAGTTGCAGTAAGTGAAAATAAAATACAGAAGTCACCGCTGGTTGGCAAACTCAAATACCTGGATGATGCTTAGGCTACATGTGAAGTCATGGCACAGCAAAGAGACTCAAAAAAAAAAGCAAGCGTGTGAGTGTGACATTGGTGTGATGTGCTATTTTTTTCAAATGTGGGAACACAGCTGACATATACAGTGAGAGGTATCAGATTCACACGTCTGAATCCCAGCCGCTGCCATGTCAGAGATCCTCTCACCTCCTGCAGACAGCAATCTGTCTCAGCGTCCAACCTCGGCAGAGGTAGACACGAGCACAGGTGAGTGGGGAGACGAGAAAGACTCTGCAAGCTGTGTAATGATTCAGGAGCAGAAACAATGAGTTCATTTGCTGTCAGTGGAGAAAAATAATGAAGGAATTTGCTCAAAGACCTCTTCTGATGAGAGAACCTAAAGTGTTCCTCTACTTTTACTTCTTACCTTTTATTTCTTTCTTTGCTTTCATTTGTTCGTCCATCATTCCATCCTTTGTTCCTTCCATCTCTGATTCCATTCCCACCAACTTCCCACCATTGTCCCTTCCTCTGACTGTTGTCCCTCTTTCATCATTTCCTCCTTGCTGCTTTCTTGATTCCTTTCCTCTCCACCAGATCAAATTCTAATGCGGTGTTTGCTCCTTCTCTTTCATGAACTGAATTTCTTTGACTTTTTGATTGTTGGTCACACAAACGAGAAACAGTTAATTCATCAACATAAAATTAGCTGACTAAACTTGAGTCATTTTAAAAGTCAGTTTTAACATTCAACAGTTCTTAGTTGCCTTCCTAAATGATTCATTTTGATTGGCTTTTCGGTAATATGTTTTCTCTTGTTAAATCTATAAAAAAATATGTGATCGCACAAATGGGTGAACTTGTTTTTTCCTCTACAAAATACCTTTTAGATAACATGAAAGCTTTTTTTCCTTTTGACCATCCAGTGGGGTTTAAACTGATTTATTTCTCAACCTGTACAAAGCAAAGCCCAGCAATTATTTACAACATCAGCTCTGACCAGTGTTTACATCCCAGCGGAGCCCACTGTTTGGCTTTCTGTACGTAACCTCTGCAGTCTAACCTTGCCGGTTTTCTGAGCAGTGTTCAACTGTGTTTCCCAGCAGGCAGTACTGCAGGACTAGGATGACTGGGAAGACCCAGACCAGCAACGTGACCAACAAGAATGACCCACGCTCCCTCAACTCCCGCGTCTTCATTGGCAACCTCAACACGGCCGTGGTGACCAAGGGCGACATTGAGGCCATCTTCGCCAAATACGGCAAGATAGTGGGCTGCTCGGTGCACAAGGGCTATGCCTTTGTTCAGTACGCCAGCGAGAGGAACGCCAGAGCAGCCGTGGCCGGGGAGAACGCCAGGGTTATTGCTGGACAATCACTAGGTAAGCAAATACTCTGCTTCATGCATTAGTAACGCTTCAGGTTACAGTCCACAAATTGGGGTTCAGGTTTTGTGGACATAAGAGCTTCCAAACTGGAAACTACACTGTACTAAAAAGAACCAAGAGCTGCTTTACTCACCGCTCACGTCCTCCGAAGCTTCACTACAATAAGGGATGCTTCTCCCACACTGTCAGTGCTTCTGTCCTGCTGGTACTGTAATTATATGACAGGACATAAAAGCTATTTGAGGTTGTCGTCTAGCATCACTTTTTATTGCCAGCTGGATCCTACGTTGGATCCCAAAAGGAGGAAATAAACTGTGATCATTCACTCGAGTACTTGGCTGTGCGATTCTGAGGGACTTGTATTTAAGTATTTGGTTTTGCAGTACATCATTCTTCTTCTGCACTTTGTTGCAGAGGGAATGTTGAACTGGACTACATGTGTTTTTGTGCCAGAGCTGCTAATCTGTGGTTGTTACTTTAAATCTGGTTATGAGAGAAGGAACTTTGGGGCACCGACAAGTTCAACCCCCCATTCCTGCCAGACCCCCAAACTTAAAGTCTGTAGTTGGCAACATTTTTTTGTGTCTTTGTGCTTTTTTGTGTTGCTTTTGGCTACACAAATTTTGTGTCTTTGTTTTTGTCTCTTTGAAGTTGATTTGTGCCTCTTTGTAGTGCCTCTTTGTAGTTGTCTTTTTGTGTCATTATAGTTGTGTTGTGTCTCTTTAATGTTGGTATGTGTATCATAACAATTGTCCATGTTTTCTTCACTTTGTTGCTGATTTTGTTGTTTTGTGTCTATTTGTTGGAGTCCAAGTTTTTTGTCTCTTTGAAGTCAATTGTGTTTCTTAGTTGTCGACTTGCGCATCTTTGTTCGTTGACTTCTTTCATGTCTTATCTTTAATGTTATAAGTCTTGTTGTAGTTGTCCATTTTTTATTCTTTGCTGTTGATTTTGTTTGTTTGTTTGGTGTTGTACACGTTTCTGTGTGTTTGATTGTGTCTCTTTGTAGTCAGTTTGTGTTTCTTTTTTAGTTGTTTGCGTTTTTGTGTTTTTGTAGCTGTCGCATTTTTGTCTCCTAGTGGCTTTGTGTCTCCTTGTTGTTGTTGTGTGTTTTGGTATAGTGGTTTCTTTTGTTGCAGTTTTTTTGTGTGTCTCTTTGTTGTTGTGCTTGTTTTTATCTGTTTGAAGTCGATTGTGTCTCTCTGTTGTCTGGATTTTTGTGTTTTTGTAGTTGATTTGGATTTCTGTGGTTGTTTGTATCTATGTCACTTTATATTTGTTTTGTGTCTGTTTATTTTTGCCATGTGTCCATAGTTTACAAACATATATGGTTGTTCAAATCCATGTTTGCTTCTCTTTGTGGTTGATTTTGTGGTTGTTGTGTGTTCATGTTCTGTAATCAGCAACACAACTAGCTCACAATGATAAATACACTGTTGATGCTTGGTTAAAATTATTTTCTTATTCACATCTCAGCATTAGTAATATAACAACAAAACAATAATTAAAGAGTATTTTTAACACATTTTTTTTCTAATACTTGTGCACTTTTACTTTCAAAGCAGGGCCTTTACTACAGTACTTTTATAATATCGCATTACTATTTTAATCAAGTAGATGATCTCCTTGTACATAAAATGTTTTCAAGTTATTTTTATAGATACAGTTACAGAGGTACGACAATAAAATAAATATAACACAACTCATTTCTCATTCTTTTAATTTTCTGTCTAGTTTTTAGCGAAGGTTTATAACTGTGCATTGTAATTATTAAATGTTACTCAGTCATTTAAAAAATACTTAATACACACTTAAATGAAAAACTGTTTGACATTTGTTCCCTAACGTCTCTCTCTCTCATTTATGGGCTGTGATTTATAGCGTCACAGAGACAAATGCCAAGGGTTAACTCATCCACTAACATTTTACCAAACGTCATCACAAGACAAACGCTGCATAAAAGCAAAGAAAATTTGAAAAAAATTAAAAAATTTAAAATTATAATATACAACAAAACGAAGATTGATAAGTTTTTATCGCAAAAGCAATAAAATGTAAGCCAGAAGAACATGTAAAACAAGACTAGAGTCCTACAACTGAGGTCAATACCAATAATAAAATATCAGTTCATAAGTCCATATAAAATTAGCTTTAAGATTGGAAGTCTGCTCCAGATTTACTTCGTCTGAGCCTCTAATGTATGTTTTTTATACTCCTGGAGCCTTACAAATGATCAACTCTTACATTTTATCGATATTGGTCGAGGATTTCAACCTGCCATCTGCCTCATTTGGTTCACGGTCAAAAGTCCTGTGATACATCTGGTTGTCAGTCTTATATTTGATCAGTAAAACCTTAGAAACTATTTAATAAAACTACTTACAGCCTGTGTGAAGTTTTGACTTACAGAGAGTTAAATATGGTGAGGGTGCAGCGAGGACACCAGACGGGCTTGAACATAAAGATAAAACTGAAAAGATGAGGAGAAAGTGTGGAGGAGGAGAGACAGGCAGACAGACGGATGGACAGCAACAAGGAGGAAACATTCAGAGCCCAGTCCTCATGGGTGCTCAGTGGATCCGTGTAAATCTTCCTTATATTACTTATTGATTGGCTCACAGCCTCCTCCATGGAAAATAAAAGTCCTCCCCAAGCCCCGCGCTCTCATTAAATATGAATAAGAGCGCTGCAGTGTCGCATCTGTAATTCCACCCTGCATTTGCCCAGTTTCATGTATTTTTGGCCGTGAAATTCCATGTGGCAGTGCTAAAGCTGCAAGGTTGAGCTGTGTTCCCAGTGATTGTATATAATTACATGACTCAGGTACCATTATTATGTGATTGTAGAACTTTATGACGACAGTTTTAAGTGAAACTGTAGTCGCTGAAAGGATCAGCCTTAACCAGTGTTAAGAGGTAATTCAGCTGCTCGACAGATCGGGTACTTCTCGCCATTACTCCCCCTGTGTCATAATAACATTGTACTCAACAAGTTTTTGGCTCGAATTTGTGAAGTTAAATCTTCACACCTCCAAACAAGTGAATGTAGAGAGAATCAGAAGTCACTCAAAGTAAGAAACTTGTTAAAAATGAGGATCATGAGCCACTCGTACCATCTTTAACCACCTGTGACTCATCAGATGTGCAAAATACACTCAGTGTCTACTTTAGTTAATTATCCATCATAAAATAATAGTAAGAGAATAAGTCTATGTTTCTGAGCCTTTTCTCACCTTCGCTTTAACCCTTTACTATTTACAGGGATTGGTTGTCTGAGGCAGAGGTAGTACTTTAGGGGAGTTCACCTACAAATAATGAAGCTGTGACGGCAGCAGTGAGCCTCAGTTTTCTGCCTCACTGAGAAAAGAGGATGAGTGGTTTAAATTAGGACAAAAACAATCAAATATATGACTGAATTTAGATAAATTGGCATCATTTGTCATAATGGATTAAATAAAACTGCCAAACACTCATTCCATTTTCAGAATTTGCAATGCCTTCGTTTTGTTTGATCACAGAATGAACATGTTGACATTTTGGACTGTAATTTGGACAAAAGCAACCAGAAGACATCACCTGGTGACAGGATTTGTTTCCTACATGCTGACACGTTACACACAAAGACATTTTAAATAACGTTTAAAATTTTGTGGCAAAAACGCTGATTTGTTTTACAACGAAGATGTTCACCAGAGTTTGTTGAAGGGATGTTCCTAGGCCTCAGTATTTATTTCAGTGAGTACAGCATTGTTATAACAATAGACTCTATTTAAAGATGGATTAACCCTATGTGACATCAGGTTTCTTGTGTTTTGAACCATCACTCAGCTAATCCAGAAATGAGCAAAGCAGTACAGCATGATTGGAGCTGAGCGGACAATGGAATGTCCTGTGATGGCACCCACTTGTCACTCAAAGTGGTGCCATCCTTAATTATGTCTAACTTTAAGCACTGATTTAATTGAAATGGATGAGTTATGCAAAAATGTGCTGCCTGTACAGTCTTCATGAATGGAGAAATTAGTAACAGGGACCATAATGATGTTTCGTCCTCGCCTGTAAACATGTTTATTTGTGTTGTAAACTTAGACATTTTAACATGGAGATCTGTGTAGAGCTGACTCACTTCTGAAGCCTGCCTCAAGTGGTCATTTGAGAACCTGCAGTTTTTGGCACTTGCTGCATTGGCTTCATTTTTCGGCCACAGAAGTTGCTGCTTAGGCATAGCTGATAGATTAAGAATGTCACAAAAGTGAGTCCACCCCTCACATTTTTGCAAATATTTTATCATATCTTATCATGGGACAACACTGACAAAAAAAATGACACTTTGCTTCAATGTAAACAGCGTACAGCTTGTATAACAGTGTAAATCTACTGTCCCCTCAAAATAACTCAATACACAGCTATTAATGTCTAAACTAACAAAGTGAGTACATGAAAATGTCCATGTTTGTTTGTGACATACTGTATGCGTCCCAAAGTACCCTTCAAAGGATTAGTTTAACATTCAGAGAAATTCTTGCCAACAGACCTACATGTGTACTTAAAGTACAGAGCTGGAGCCAGGGGACAGTTAGCTTAGCTTAGCATATCATCAAACCTTGAAGCATCCTGCGTGTTCCAGAAAATGTTTTCAGAAACATGTCAACGGCACATCGTCAGCCCACCAGTGTTGCGTCTGTGTTGTGTTTCTATCTTGCCAAGTAGCAGCTGGGAGGTTACCAGGCAAACACTTGCATCTCCAGTGAAGTCTGTTTGCCTGACTGCCATGTGCAAAGATAGCCAAAGCACAGCTTGCTGTTTTTACATCTGTGTGCTTGTGTGTGTGCTGTGTGAAGTAGCAAACCAGCATACAATGTTAATATGTGAGCTTTGGAAGTTCTGGGAATCAGATTTTTAACTTTGGACACAGCGTGGCTAACTGTTTCTCTCTTTTTCCAGTCCCAATGCTAAGCTAAGCTAACCAGGCTGCTATATATGCAATGATAATGA